GCGGGTGGGAGGCGAAAGAAAAGGGGGGGGGGGGGGGGAAAAGCCGGTTCTGCCTCAATTTAGCTGCCCTACTGCCCCCATCCACTCACGCCTCTCCAGAGGTCACCTGGCTGGCTAGCATGGCACACATCCACTCTAAAATGAAAGGACCTGGGGTCTAGTCACACTGGAAGCCATGCCGAGTCGCTCTGGAGATGCAGCAGGGCCCTTTTCTCCTTTAAAAACCTGTCCTTCTCTCGCTACACTTTGCAGAGGTTTCTCCAGTTAGTTCAATACTTGAAAGGCTGCAGCAGCATGCAAGAGAAATTGTTTCCTTTTCTTTTGTTTTTTAAAAAGTTGACGAAAGGTCTCCCGGAGATGCTGAGTTTAGGTTTTATTTCGGTCTGGTCTGGATAGAGGTTTGGTTTGCTCTCCGTGCGGTCCTGGGTGGCCGTCAGCTAGGAGACAGTGCGGGGGCTGGAGAGGTTTAATCAGCATATTCGTCTTCAATCTCGTCCTCGCCATCTACTGACAGAGCAGCGTACTTGCTAGCAAGGCTGAACTTCTGCAAGAGGCAGGACACAGATGGAGCATGTTAAATAGCTAATGAGCTGTGAGGCTGAGGACTCTGAAGGAGCAAGAGCCCACAACACAGTTCACTTCGTATAGGACACTAAATAAAAAACCTGCAGCCTGTGGCCAGACGGAGTAAAACAAACTGGGAAATGCCCCATTTCTCTGGTCTGTCCAAGACCCAAGCTAACCCCAAGCTGGGGCATGACCCTAGAAGCAAGCATGTGCTCATACTGCAGGGAAACAGAGGAATGTGACAGTCCTCTGAACAGGGCTGACAATGTCCAGTCTCATTATGTTTCTACCACCCAATCATCCCCACCCAAAGGGGGTGGGATGTGGGAACAGAGCCAAACAGAACACACAGGAGCTCCATGGCCCAGCTGGGAACAGAGGCCTTGTACTAGTCTAGCAACTGAAGACAGGACCAGCCCTCCTGTCTCAACACTGTCTGTTTAAAGCAGTGGCCAGTCAAATCAATGCTTACAGGGGCCGGATTCTCCTCAAGTTTCTTTGGCTCAGAAGCAGATCTTGAGTCATGATCCTTCCTGCTTTCTTTCCTGCAAGAGTCAGATGTTAAGTTGAACGAGAGTTCATTTCACTAGAGCAGCTGCCCCTACAGCCAGTTTAACTGGTGCCTACTAGGCTAGAGGTGCGCCCACAGTTCCCTGGGCTGAAACAGTTCCCTGGGCTGGAAAGGAGTTCATGTGCAGGGTGAGAGGGGATGGCCAGTTTCCCAGGAAGCACAAAGGCAGGGAGTCTGCTTTATACAGTCGGGATCCCCGGTCCACACTGATTTCTGGCCAGACATGGCAAGCACCGCACTGCACCCAGCCTGGGGAGCGAGACCGACTCGATGGCTCCACTGCATGGAATTTGTCTGCGCTATGTCTAGAGCTGGCGGGGAAAGGACGCTGCTGTCTAACTAGTCTAGTGACCTCTGCCGGACAAAGAGGAGATCTGTAGGTCGGGGAGGAGGCAGAGATGTTCTGGTCCTTGAGCCCTGTAACCAGGGATGTGCTGGCTCTAGCTGAAGCCTGCTCTTTCATGGAAAAGCTGCCTGCCTGTATAAGGGACGCTCTGTGGATAACCCCAGGGTCTCAAGTGAAAAAGGGGAGGGGAGAAGAGGGGCAAGCTGGCAGACACATGCCGGTCTCCCCTTCTGCCTGGCTCTGCTGTTGAGTTGTGGGGTTGAGGTTGAGGGTTGTGCCCTTTCCCTTTACAATAATGGAGGCTGGGCAGGGACATGCCAGCACAGAGACATCCACAGCTATTTCAAGGCCTGCCCTGGTGCTGTGAGATGTCCAAACAGCACATTACACACCTACCGCAGGCCAGACCGGAAGGGGCTGGTGCAGTGCTGCCCCATGGCCCAGAAGTGAACTAGCTTCAGCCCCATGCTAGAAGAGGTATGAGCAGAGGAGACGCACTTACTTATCTGACTCTGGCCACGACTCTCTCTCCCCTTCATCTCCCGGAGCACGGCCAGAGCTTCCACTTCGGCTTTTCGGAGGACTTTCTTTGCCCCCATCAGGCTTGTTCTCATCTCCTGAAGATGAAATAGCAGTGAAGCCTATCAAGCAGCAGTGAAGCCTATCAAGCCACCAGCAAGACCTCCCAACTGAAGATTCATAGACATTAGGGCTGGAAGGGACCTCGGAAGATCATCGAATCCGGCCCCCTGCCCCACGGGCAGGAAGTCGAGCCGCAGACACATGCAGCGCTGTGCCAAACCCTGCCATTGAGAACGCTATGCTTGGGCACAAAACTGACTGGAGCCTTCCCAGCACCATCCCACCTTCCACCACCTGCTTCCTCTGTCTACAACTTCACCAGGGCTGGGCTTCCATTTCCTGAGGATGCTGCTCGAGCCTCCTTTCCTCTCCTTCCTGTTTAGAGGAGGCTACACTCCTGGACTGCTAAGACAAGCAGACACTATATTCAGTTTAAAAACAGAGGCCCACCTTTCTCTCTTGCCTACTCCTTTTCCAAAATACTCTTTCTGGAGAGCTGGGGGTCTCTTTCCTTAAAAGAGGCTTTGCCAGCAGCAGGAGACTCCAGCATAGACCCGATTTACTAATCTGAACACGTGGAGAAGTGCCTGCCATCCCCCTGCAGCTCTAACACCTTTGCCCACCAAGAGCATCTGGAGGAGGACACATTTCCACTCCCATGGATGCAAAGACTAGCCCACCCAGAGAAGACAGCTGCCCTCTGCCGGCACAGAACTAGGCTCTGTGAGCTTTAAAAAGCAGCAGGCTAATACTTGTCCATAGGTTGCTAGAGCTCTGCAGATAGATCAGCCTCTCCTAATCCTGGTCACACACATGCCCAAGGGCTCCAAGCCCCCCTTGTAGCAGGGTTAGGTATTCCATCTACACCAGGGGTGGGCATAATATGGCCTGCCAGGCAATTCCATTCAGCCTGCAAGACCCCTCTGTAAGCCCTAGCCCTGGGCTGCCCCTCTGCAAGCCAGCACATCCCCGCAGGAGGTGCAGCTCCAATTAAGAAACTCCACCCCCCACCAGCCCTGAGCTCAGGAAGTTGGAGACAAGGAGCTTCTGCCTGGCACAGACTTTTGCTGGTGACCCCAAGGCTGTTCCCAGCTTCCCTTCCTGCAAGAGCAAGAATTCGGGTATGGTCCCACTGGGCCGGCACCAGGGACTCTGGCTGGGGGAAAAGGAGGAGGAGTGTGGAGAGCTGTATACTGTAGGGCCAGGTGGGGCTGGGTCTTTATGCTGCCACCACTTGCAGCCAGGGACTCGGGCAGAAGCATGGGAACTGCATGTTATGGGGCTGGCCTTGCACCCTACCACCATGTGCAGCTGGGGATTGGGGTGGGAGCACAGGAGCTGCGTGTTATGGGGCAGGACCAGCACCCTGCCACATGTGGCCGGGGACTCAGGAAGAAGCGCTATTGGGCTGGGTGGGGCTGGCCCTGCAGCCTGTGCCACCCACAGCCAGGGACTGGAGTCTCTGCTATGGGGCTGGCACGCTCCAAGGACGCCCCACTCCCCCAAACACCTACACACACTTCCACCCCACCCACCATAACCTCATACAAACCCACACCCTTCCACAGCCCCTACCCCAGCTACATACCCCACTGCACACCCCCTTCATTCACACTCCAACCACACACACTTCCTTAACACCCCACCATACAATATACAAGAGTAAGACTATTTTGAGCTAGATACACTATGCAAACACACAAGTCAGGACAAAAATATTTTTAAAAATAAAACTGAAGTTATAGATGTTTGATTTTGTTTAGTACATGATGTGGTTTTTTCCCTCCCTCACCCAGTTTCAAGATAGCAGCACCCTCCCCCCTAAAAGGCATACTTCTGGGGCAAAGGGAGGGACATCTGGTGGCAAAGGTCAGGGGTTAGGACTTCTGGTCCCAAGACAGCATTCAGGGGGTAGGGCTCTTATCAAGAGGCAGGGATACCCTTGCAGCTCGCCAAAACCCATTAAGAAGCCCTCCAGCTGAAACAATTGCCCACCCCTGGTGTACACAATGCAGACAGGTTCTTTCCTCCTCCTTGCCCAGTGACTGGTATCGAGCCCGTCATAGATCTTAAGTCATAGATCATAATCTTACCTCTCCTGTTGGCACTCCTGGGTGGTGTCCCGTCCTCTGAATGCAGAGATGGTGCTCCCTGGCTGCTGCTAGAAAACCGTAAAAGTATATCAGTATCAGAGACCCTGAATTCTCAGGTGAAGGACAGGGATTGCGTGGGACTCCAATAGCGGTTTGCTTCCTCCTGAGATCTTAGCTCTGGGCAAGTGAACCCCCCCAGATTTCAGTGTGTAAATCATAGAGGCTCCTAACAAGCAACTGCAAGGCCACTGCCTACAGCTTGGCTTTGTCCCATCAATTCAGCAGAGACCAGAACAGCAGCTCTAGGTCTTAGCTGTTTTAACCCCATCCCTCCCTTGGAACTGATCTATATAGGCTAGCTCCTGGGTGACAGGGCCCTGGGCAGGAGCTCACCTTGTAGGAGAATGCTGATCCGAGTCCGAGCTCTGTGAGCGGGCAGGGGGGTTGGAGCTGCGCTTCACCCAGGCATTCTCCTTTGGCGGAGGGGCAGGCATCACCTTCAGGGGGAGCTTCTCGTCTTTGGGGGTCTTGGAGGTGGGAGATGGGGCCTCTTCCTCCTTGGAGAAGGTCTCGTTGTCCAAGGACTTCTCGCTCTCCCTCCTTCGTGTGGCTGGGGGGGGTACAAGACATAGCAGTAAGCATGAGGTGTGTAGAGAAGCCAGCTTTCCCCAAAGCGAGGTCAGTCTGGATAGTTCAACACTTCCAATTTGTGTCCTTTGTTTCACCAGCCTTCAACTATGCTTTTGGGTCTTCCTTGCCTGAAGCTGGCAGGCTGGTCCTAGTGTTGCCCACGAGTTACTAAGCTAGTGGTTCCTATGTAGTGACATCAGCATAACCCAAATCGTTACAATGAGCTCCCAGCCTGGGTATTATTCAGAGCACATACTATGTGAAATGGTAGCTGGAAGACTTCGGATCAAGAGCACAGATGTTTGGTAACCAACCCGAGGTATGTAGGCCCTGTACAAGCTACTGACCCCTAACGAAAGCTCCTCTGTGCACAGCCAACCCATGCAGGAGAACCTGTCTGGAGACCAGCTCCATCTTGTGCCCCCCTGGCCCAACTTACTTCTTCCTGTAGGGCCTGTTCCCACGGAGGTGCCAGGGGGGCCAGTCTGGGAGGACTCGCTTCCCGTCCGCGATCGCTCCTGGTTCTCCTCGCTGCGCCAGCTGGGATGCCTGCAGCAGAATGGGGAAGAACAGCCCATTGTGTTAGTGTACTGGAACCCCGTTTCCCCGACTCCCAGCCTTAAATCACCATCCAAAGGACAAGGCTGGCTCCTCAAGTCACCTTAGTGGGAGTCAATCCCCGCACCCGATACAACCACCTGGCTCGCAGGCCTGCTGA